CATTACCCAGCATTCCCTCCTCGGCCAGACTAGACGTTTACGGGAATACCGCTGCAGAATCATCATCACCGGGCTCCGCTTTATGAATCAATGGAACATGCTGCAAACATTACACCCTGCAACACCCTTCCCAAGCAGCACCCTCACATTTACCCATAACTCACTGCTGAGCTCATGGTATACACAAAAGACGTGGGCTGAAGAGATCTCTTTTAACTCACGGGAATGTACTGACTTGCGAGAAGTATGTGACTATCTCTTTTACTTACATACATAAACAGGCCCGCATGTATAGTTCCACATGATTTAGAAGCACCAATGCAGAAAGAGAGGATGTCTGGATTTGTGCAAGTCAGTTGTTGTTGACGAATTCTATGAGAAATATCACTGTGTGTAACTGACAAATAAAAGCAAAAATGTACCGTATAATCTTTTCACAATCTGCTGAAAAATAAAAATCTCGGTTAACCTCGGCTGTGAAGCTAAGTGAACCACCAGTTCAACAACAGGTCAAATCTCTTTTAGCAGCAGTGACAGCAAAACGTTTCCTCTGAGGTTTGATCCGTCTTTTACAACATCTGGGAGGAATAGCTGCTTTAACCTTTTAGCAAACTGACCGCCAGTGTTGTGGAGATTGTAGAGGTTAGACTTTTAGCTGTACTCAATAAATATATACTTGGTGCTTGAATTATTCCCTTTTCCAGAGAGGAGTTCAGGAGAAGTGGAAGTGATTTGGTGTCGACTACGATTCATCATGGAAAAAAATGCTTGACTTGAGATAAGCAACTATTAATATATTGTTGCAATCCAAATGTTGAGGTGCAAAACCAGCATTTTTATATATTGTTTACCGAAGGATTTGAATATCAGCCATAGTACATTTTCGGCTTTTACTAGAGTAAAAAAATATCAAATGTTTTAAGGGAAACGTAGAGATGTGGTTCTGGCATTCACCAATAAGACACAGGTTAGTGCATTTTACAGCTTTACTTAATAAATACAATTAAACATCTAGACATGGAAACATAATATCCCAAAAACATTTCTAAACAAGTATTTAAAAAGAAATCTATGTGCAACTCTAAGCCCATTTAATATTTCAGGATTAAAGAACACAATTTTTACTATTATACTCATTAAAGTATTGCAATGTGAGCCGATACCTTCCTTTTAATATCAGACGTTCATGTTCACATAGGAGGACATGTATGTTGATGTTCAGCCAAATACTTATTTTTAAGATGTTGGAAGCAAAATGCTTGGGTTTCACCTTTTTAACAAATTGGAATTGAAAAATGCAGATTGCCAAACCACACTATGACACCATAGTGAATTATTTGAATAGTCACAGCATGGGAATATTACTTTTATAGTGCTCCAAAAGGAAGGTCAAACAGAAATGGATTCAAGATCATAACAAAATTCAATATGACGCCCCTATAATTATAATTGTGGTCAGCCTTCCCACCTACATCATCTGCTGAATCATTCCCCATCAAAGACGTAGGATCAATAGTCCCATTTCTTTTGTATTTTCAGCATTAAAACAACACGTTAACAAAGCACCACTACTGTGAAACCACAACTTAACAGACCCTCGAGTCCTTGACAAAGACCACCGATTCAGCAAAATGGGTTAAACACTGTCACAACTGGCTAACAAGTCAAAACCAAAAGGAAAATACTGCGATCCAGGATGAATAAACAATATGAGCGTGCTTCACAGCCAGACTTAAAGCAATTATAAGACTGAAGTCCACGGTAATTTAGGAAATCCAAAACCCCTTGAAACTGCTGAAGCAAACATTTTCCCAGAATTATAGCTGTAAAAACATTTCTTTATGGGACACAAATCTGAAGATTTACCCAGAAGAAAGCACTAAACAACGACCCACATTTTTAAATGTGAATACCAGTTATGGGTAAGACTGAGCACCATATTTACGAGTACTTTGATAATCATTCATTAGTATATTTTAGCAACATTTGTATTATCCATTATCAGAGTGTATAAAAAAAGAGAACATTTTGCTTTTAAAGTGAAGTTAAAAAACTGAGTAAATGAATGCCAGCTGCCCGTTCCCCTCTCCATAAAGAATAATAATAAACCACATAGTTTGATTAGAATAAGTGACTTCACCATAAGCTCTTAATGTGTTTCTCACACACAACCAAAAGTATTCACAAGCTACTGCTAAGCTGTCATTAAGCGTTTGACACAGCGGAGGCTCAAAGGAGGCGCAGTAATGGTCGGTTGTTTCTCATAACAGTCAGATTATCGCCCCGCAGTATGACGTCCACAAAAGCTTCTGGGGAAAACATAAGAAACCAAGTCATTTGGAGGATATTCAACATGGGTGCCAATGCCACTTCACCACAAAAAAGTGTCAATGTGTGGCATGTATGTTTAGTGCATGTGTTTTGCTGCTGTGCTTGCATACAGGTGTGTAAATATTTGTATGTATGGTTTTATAGAAAACATGTCACGATGATGTGTGCATAAGACAAGAAACAGCCATAGCAATGTAAAAAGTTCCGACAATGATAAAATCCAAATATCCATTACTCATCTCTTTACTCGCTGAATCAACAGACCTCTGCATTTATCTGAGAGGGAGTTTGGGACTGCGGAGCACTCAAACATTTTCCTAACATAAGCTCACACACACACACACAGACTTCACACAGCTCCGTCCCGGGACAGGAGGAACTTCAGACAGGTATCGAATGATGCTAGAGTACACACTCCTTTCAAACCTGATATTCTTTTTCAAGAGAGGTCAAGTGTTTTTCTTTGCAGGCTAAATATTTTCTTTGCTGGTGGGCACTAACATTTATAGCACAGTGCACTCGCAGTGTAAGGATGATCAGACGCTCATGAAGATTAATACACACGGTTTCAAAAACCTACACACCAGATGTCATGTATGCCACTTTGATTTGTATTTATTCAACATAATGTAAAGAAATTATAATTAATTGGATGTATGCTAGGGATAGCTGCAATAGCAGAGCAATGGTGAGGTTGAGTAGTCAAAGCAAGTGTTTTTACTACATTTTGAGTTGTTTACTTATATATTTTAGGATACCTGGCGTGTAAACAAAATCAAATCCAAGCCTGTGGAAAGTTCAGCTCTGTAACTGACTGTTATTCACTTTCAATTTTTCACTCAATTTTACATGTATAAAAACACATAGATGCAGAAAAACTGAAAACACCTTAGATTTGCATTTGTGAGAGTACATTGAAAAAGAAATAGAGGAAATCTGAATGAGGGTCTCATAGTGCACCATCGTAAACTGCAGCTCCTCTACCAGAAAATATTGAGTCACTTTTATTCTTCTTATGAGTATTACTTTTACACATTTTGCAATCGCAGGGTACACAGTCAAATCTCCCGTCTGAGGTAAGTTCTTCCTCCGGTGTCTCACTCCCACCAGGATTAATATTACACTGTGTGTTTGTGCAAAGATTCCTTTCAGTATAAATCTAAAGTAATGGTGGAGAATGCAGTTTAAACCCCAGCTCTGTCCCCAAATGGGAGTGTGTAATACGATCAGCCTGAAATGAGGCATGATACAAAAGACTGATGAGTACTGAGATCATTTTCATACTGCACTCTCACCATGAGAGACTATAAAACAACAGCAAATGCCTGGAATACAGCTCATATTCATACAGGATAGAGGTAGGAGTACAAGTTAAACTGAATAAGAAAATCATATGTGTGCAATATGTTTTAATTTGTAATTGGATCAGTATGTGTGTGAGGAAGGAGATGTTGGGTTATTTTCTCGCACTCCTCAAGAAGGCGGAAAACTATTTGAATTCATAAACCCACAAGAAATGTAAGAACTATCACTCACAGACTCAGAACCAAACAGACAGATTTTCCGCAATGTCAATCTGCTCAACATAACGCACAGACGCATAACATACTCTCGCGTTCCCACAACTTACGGGAAGTGAGTTCAAAAGCGTTGCGAACACAATGACACGATTCATTCTGGCCGGGATGCTGCGGATGGAGGGCTGATAGAGCTCCAACAGATCTCAAAACTGCTGAGACGCATCCAGCAGACATATGGTTTGTGTTTAACGAGGAGAAACAATAATCAAATCCGTTGATCCTTTTCTTGCTGCGAGGATGATTGCTAATATAAAAGTCTGTTCCGTCTAATCATAATTTAGGACGGGGCTGTAATTACCTCCGCCCTCCCTCTCACAACAACACTGTCTAAACAGGATGGAGCAGCAGGGACTCAGCCCAGTTTCCACTGCATGACATGTGCTCATTTCATCTGTGTAATTGTTTTGAAATTATGATTTTCACTGATGAGCCAAAGTCAAAGTTTATTCTACTTTTGTAAGGCAATCGTTTAAATAGGAGCCATTTGAGCATAAAGAGATGTCCACGATTAATATTATTCAAAGTTTGAAAGAAAATGTGATTTTTTTCAATTAATTATTATTGAAAATGTTGTTTTAAGCTGTCCAAACTTGAAGATGCCAAGCTCTCCATATTTACCTAAATGAGCCAACGTCACACTAATCCTCCTGTGAAAACGCTGCCATGACTTGTGAACATCCTTAGGAAACGCACTTACTTGGCAGTTTTTCCTCCGACTGTCCATCGCTCACATGGCCTTCGTGTGCAGCATTGACTTTGATTCTGGTGTTATTTATGATTTGGCCGAGGATACAAGTGAGATCTGAGTTTAATTAACAGACCTAATCCACAAACAGGGCTCTCAACACAAATACACAGCTGCTTCAAAGGATGCTCTCGAGGAGCCATGTGAAAGCAACATTATTGTTGGACTTTATCTCAAATAAACCTTGAAATAATTGGTCAAATTGGCAAACCGAGCGAAAATGTTATTGTTATCCTTACAGTTTGTTTGAATGGGGTCAAAAATAATTCCATTAAATGTGACTCGATTAAATCAACTTTTAAACACGTCAAAGCATCAATAAAACGGGGACTTAAGGGGCTTACCTTGCACGGGGGGGAGAGACAAGCAGGATCGCGGAGCTTTGGCCGCATGATGCGCCTTTTCTTCGGACGCGCTGAATCTCTTCTGGCTGGCGCAGTTCATGTGCGTCGGCGTTTCATTTGGGCTCCGGCAAATCTGCGATCCGAAACCACCGTTGCCGGCTCTCCACGAACACAGGTCCGCCTTGCTGCCGTACACGGAGAGCGAAAGGCCGGGAAAGTCTGAGAAAGTTTGGGTCTGACAGTGGCTCACCATCCCGAACAGCGCTGAGGGGTTCTGCATTGATCACTCGGCTTTCCCATGCAGTGCGCTCACATTACCTGCGAATGAACAATAATCAAATCACTGCATTCGCTTGAACAAGATTGGAGCAACTGGTGAAACTTCAAGGATTTGGTACCACCTACCTTATTCAATTAGCCAATGAGGAGCAGAAGCAAATCCAATTGCGCAAATCAGCATATTTATCACAGTGGGAGGAAGAGCGTCCTTGCAAGCCTGATCGATAGCATCCTCTCAGTGAGGATCAGTCATCAGCATCCCATGCGTCTCTCCCCCTTCCCCCTCCCCCTCCCTCTCTCTGATTGGCACCCGGCAAGGCAGCTCCACACTCCGCATGAATCCGAAGCACCAATGGAGAGTGTGTCCGTGTTTCTGTGGGAGGACAGATCTGGATCAAGACAGCTGTGTGTGGTTCTGAGCGAAGAAGTGCAGATTGCGAGCTACTGGGGTTATAATCTTTATGCATGTTGACCAAGCATTCAAAGCTCTATGGAAAAGAAAAGGTAAAACAAAACAAAAAGTGTTGTCCAAGCTTTGGTGCACATCGTCCTCGGTGGGAGATACAACTACAACCATTGCCATGTAATGTATATCACTGAAATGCAGGGTTATATCGATATAACGTGCATTTTATTACGTTTAAATGTATGTATAGGTTATTGCCTCTTGACTTACAAAACAGCTGTCACTTTTTATGTTTAGTTGTTTTGCAGCCCAATCCAGATCAATGTGAGGCTGAGACGCACAGGTATGATTGAGAAAAGAAAACTGGGATAAAATGTATCATACAGCAGAACATTGAGGATGATTTAAGTTAATGATTTGATATAGGTACACATCCTCAAAAACCTTGAAGAGAATGTGCTTTGTTTTTTCGGAGCTGCCCTTATTATTATTTCAACCGCATGATTTGTTGAGTATGTTTTGAGTTGGACCATGGAGGAAACTGCAAAAAACTACAGAACAAAAGGATGGATTTGTAATATAGGATTTAATACTGGAACGAAGCTTACAAAAAGTTCATAATGAAAATGCCAAATAATGTCAATCTGCATAATAAAGGAAGGTGTAAATTGTTCTTTCCTGTGATAAACCAAGCGTTGAGAGTTTGTATCGATGTTGGATATGCGGATCTGCAGCGCCTCTTAGTGGCCTTTCCCTGGAAGGACACATCTTAACCCCGGACAGAGTTTAAACACATAATTGGCCAAATGCAAGGCGTGTGTGACAACTGTCAAGTGAAATTGTATATGTTATGTAACAGGTGAGTTTTGTTAGTAGGTGCAAGGTGAAGTCCTGTTTGTAAAACCCGAAGAAAAAAAAGTAGAACGGGAACAACTGTTTCTGATGCTGCCTTCACGTGCTGTTGGAAATATGAACCCACGTGATTGAAGAGCTACAAGAAAAGATTGGACACAAAAATGTTCATAATATAATATGAAATGAATCTGAAAACATAAACTACCCTTTAACTGCAACTCTATACTGATTTTTTAAATATATATCTGTGAACATTGTCAGTATGGCTTTATAAAATATCTGGTTTATTAAAATAAAATAATAAGAATATTCATAATTCTTTGATGACATTTTTCTATTATAATTCAGTAATGAAGTGGCTTTTTATAACCTTAATGTAATCCTGCAAACATTTTAACTATTGTTTTATCTGGTATATATGTCGAATAACTCTTGAAAAAAACAAATACTGACGTTAAAGTGAAAGAAATGTCTATAATCCAAATCTTTAATCATTAAATAGGTTGTTTCTGATGTGAGTTTAATGGCTTTTTCAAATGTTTTGCGAGTAACTTAAACTTAAAATCAATAATTTGGTCTAAAACTTTATCATAATATAATAATGGAAATAATAGGGTTCTAAATCTGCAAAGTGGCACTGGTTTAACCAGGCACGGGACAGTGGATGTGCTTGTGTAACTTGGAAAATAATGTAAAATAAATACTTTATTTGTGTTTTAGCTCCAGGTATTATCTTCAGCATCTCTGGTGTAAAAGCAAACAAATATCGACACGCGCTTCACAGAAACCTACCTGAATAATCCACAAACGCTTGGGAAACCCTGCACAGCAAGTTATATCACTTCACAAATACCAATCAAGTAAAGTAAAAACATTTAATACACAATGGTAATAATATCACTATTTACGGTCTAGGACAGTTATCTGCTAGCAAGGAAAGGAAGTGAGGAAAGTCAATGAGGGGGGAAGAAAGTGAATAATTTAGAAGAACTGTAGCCGTTATTTTATATAGTCTGTCTGTGTCCAATAAAGATTAGGTTGCGCCATAATGAAACCATTTGGAAAATGTTTGCCAAATTCATTCAATTCTATTTACATCATTTTGGGAACTGGGAAAATGAGTTTTATGGTGGTTCTCAAATGGGGGTACGCGGACCCCTAGGGGTACGTTGGAGTACTGCAGGGGATACGTGAGATTTATTTTATGTTAATGAAAAAAAAACATAATTAATGCATTTAAACAAACTACTAATAGTAGGCTAGATGAACTACTTTATTCAAAGGTTTACAGTCATTCTGGAAAATAAACGGGGTGTTCTCTTTTCCTCGACCTCTCCTGACAGCTCGTCAGTCTCGTGCAGCTCGTTGAACCTTTAATGAGTGACCCGACAAGTAAAGAATACATATATGTATAACTAGTTTAGCTTGTTCCAGAGTAGATAAACTAGAAGTGTGTTAGGTCTAACTCTTAGTGTATTTTGCTCCGCGCAACGGTCCGTCACAGCGGGGGAGCTTTGATCCGGAAGAGCTGCTTGTTCTACGTCAGAAGCAGCTGATCTGATCTCTGATCTCTCTCTCGCGTCCGGTTATACTTCAGTCGCGTTTATGTCTAAATCTATCAGATCTAGCTAGTTCTAGCTAATGATATGACTGCCTGCTTATCAAAGGACCTAAACAATAAGCGTTGCTTGGCAACGGCATGTGGCCGCAAAGTATAGCGCAGCATTATGCATTATGTTTATATGAGGGTCAAAATCCCATGCTCATAAAACGCTCATATATATTTTTCTCTTCATTCTCCA